TGCCCCTGGGAAAGGGACGAATCAATCTCTCACCTGGGGTCAAAGAGTAGAAAATACCCCTGGGAAAGGGAAAATCAATATCCCACCTGGGTCAAAGAGTAGAAAAATAAGTGCCGAAGAATTATACATGCAATGTACACTCTCAAAATAAATAAATTATTCTTATTAGGCAAAATAGGTTTCGGCTTTAAATAACCCATGAAGTGTTGATAAACCGTAAAAAATGACAAATCAGATAAAAATAAACATCTCAATGGTAGTAGGAATTACAGTCAAGCAACACAGTCTGCTCTTCTTCAATGACAAGAGAGTTAATGACTGAATCAATCCAGGCACACCAAATTGAACACAAAAAAGGTTAGGATTAACCGCTATTACATAAACTTTGGTAGGAATACTTAACATCAGGAAGATGCAATTGAAATTTCTTAGTCATCTAATGAGGAAAATGAGCTTCGAAAATCTCATCCACACAGAATATATCGGACCGAATATGTGAGCAACAGAGAAGCTTTAGAAAAAATAAAGAAACAAAAAGAATATTTATAATTAAGATCAGAAAAAGGCATATACTGAAGAAAGAGGACTTAGGAAATCTAATCCTCACAGGAGACAACCTAACGAACACGTAAGCAAAAACGAACCGTTAGAGAAAAAATCAACAAAATGGATACGTATATTTAATATCAGGGATAGACTGCTCAAATTTCTCTTGCACATAATGAGGAAAGAGGATTTGAAAAATCGTTTTCTCACAGAATATAACGGATCGAACATGTGAGCAACAACAAAGCTTTAGCTTAAAAAGTGACAACATACATTTTTTTTTAAGCATTTCACCCCAAGCAAGGTGAGAAGCTACTAGGACGCAAGGGGTTACAGAAAATTTAGAGCTAGATCAGATAGGAGTGATAGAAGAAAGGATGAGGGTAGTGGATAGATCAAGGCAACTGGAGATATCGATTGACATTACACTTGAATAGCTGGAGATTATAGCTCACAGGGAAACAGGGGAAGAGAAGGGAGTTCCGCAGGTGAGAGGTGAGTAGTAGTATTCTTAAGCCACAAGGTGTGATGGGCGTTAAAGTCACCAAACACAAAAATGTTAGCAAACGGGTGGAGGGAGAGAGAGCCTTGTCTATGTTGTCAGAAATGCTATCGAGTATCTCACAGTCTTGAGAGGATGGAGAGCGGTAAAGGAAGAAGAGATAGCTTACCGCATTGAGGAGAAAGAGTCGGAGACACATGTATGACTGGTCAGGCGGTTCGAGAGAGGACTCTCTGGCCAGAGGGAGATGTTCCTTGACGTGCATACCTATATTTAACATCAGGAATAAAACGTTGAAATTTTCTTCGGCACATTATTAGGAAAATGGGTTTGGAAATTCAGATCCTTACAGAATATAACACACCGAATATGTGAGAAACAACGAAGCTTTACAAACATTGTTCTTCTTATATTGTAACCTTTATTATAGTACGATTAATGTAACGTCAAGTTAATAGGAAAAAGGTAGGCGATGATGTAGAATTCTGGTGTTAATCTAGCTGAAAGTGTCTTTGCGTTCTCGTAGAAATTCGCATTTTTCGCATTGACAATGATGAAGAGCGCCTTTCGAAAGACTTTTAGAGAAAACGGAAACAAAAAGGTTAGATATATTTAACCCTAGCAAAAGACAGTTGAAATTTCTACGGCACACAATAAGGAAAGACGGCATGGAAAATCTTGTTCTCACAATAAACAATGGAAAGAACATGTGTACAACAACGAAGCTTCAGTCAAAAAAGAACATTTCTGCTTAACATATGGAAAAGGCAGTTGAAATTTCTAGAGCAATTAATGAAATAAAAGGTTATTGGAAAATCTGATCCTCGGGGAATACAACGGAATGAATTGGTTTGCAACAACAAAGCTTAGAAATAAAAGAAACAAAAAGGAGATTTATACTTAACATCAGGAAATGGCAGTTAATATTTCTGGGGCCCCCAATGAACAAAAAGGCTTGAAAAATATGATCCTCGGAGAATACAATGAAACGAATATGTGAGCATCATCGAAGCTTTAGAGAAAACAGAAACTAAACGGCCTCATATACTTAACAATCAGGAAGATGCAGTCGAAATCTCTTAGTCATCTAATGAGGAAAATGAGCTTCGAAAATCTCATCCACACAGAATATATCGGACCGAATATGTGAGCAACAACGAAGCTTTAGAGAAGAAAAAATAAAGAAACAAAAAGAATATTTATAATTAAGATCACATAAAGGCATATAATGAAGAAAGAGGTCTTAGGAAATCTAATCCTCACAGGAGACAACCTAGCGAACATGTAAGCAACAAGGAACCTTTAGAGAAAAAACAAAACAAAATGGATACGTATATTTAATAACAGGGAGAGATTGCTAAAATTTCTATTGCACATAATGAGGAAAGAGGATTTGAAAAATCGTTTTCTCACAGTATACAACGGATCGAACATATGAGCAACAACGAAGCTTTTGCTTAAAAAGAAACAAAATGCATACCTATATTCAACATCAGGAATAGATCGTTAAATTTCTCCGGCACATTGTTAGGAAAATGGATTTGGAAACTCAGATCCTTACCGAATACAATACACCGAATATGTGAACAACAACGAAGTTTTACAGGTAAAAAGAAACAAAATAGATACCTGTACTTAAGACCAGGAATGATCGTTGAAATTTCTAGGGAATATATTGAGGAAAGATGGCTTAGATAATCTGATCCTCACAGGTGTTATTGAAGTCATTGTGAGTTGTTTACCTCGTGAGAGGTAAACAACTCACAATCTACTTAGCGAGCTTATGTAAATCGATGGCGGAGCAACGTTTTGAAGAAAAAAATTTATTAAGAGCTTCAAAGGATAAGATATTGTGTAGAGTTATGCTCGTCCCCCCTAAAGGGGTACACGGAACTCAGTAGAACTCAGTGGCGTCTCGCGGTCTCTGACTGCGCACGCCTTCTGTCGAACTCTATGCGTAAGCAGAGAGGAACCCGGACGAGGCTTTGCCGAAGGGCAAGGTTTCTTCCGGGGAGGTAGACAGGGCCTGAACCCGTCTAATCGGCTTCAAAAGGCTATTTTTTTTGGCCGAGCCTACGGGCTCGGAGAAACCCATTAAAACCGGCCTTGTGCCATATTCGTTTCCCGTGGGTGAAATGATAAATACCGAATGGCGTCTCGCGGTCTCTGACTGCGCACGCCTCCCTGTCGAACCTCTGCGTTAGCAGAGAGGAACCTGACGAGGCTTTGCCGAAGGGTGGTTCGTCCAGGGGAGGTAGACGGGGCCTGAACCCGTCTAATCGGCTTCAAAAGGTTATTTTTTGGCCGAGCCTACGGGCTCGGAGAAACCCACAATAAAACCGGCCTTGTGCCATATTCGTTTCCCGTGGGTGAAATGATAAATACTCAGTAGAAGTAAAAAAAAAAATGAATTCCGTTATAACAAACGTTGGTAACCCTTTCTTTAAACTTACAACTTAAGGTTAATCCTATTTCGTAAAGATAAACCTAAAGTAATAATCCCTAACGAATTATTATTATTCATATTATCTCAGGATAAACAGTTTTTGGTCAGCTTCAAAAGGGTCCGGATTTGTGAGAAACGACGAAGTTTTAGAAAAATGAAATAAAAAAGCATATTTAGGAAGAAACAGTTGAAATGTCCATTGCACATAGCGAGGAAAGAGAGCTTGGAAAATTTGACACTCACGGGGCAGGTTGAAGGCAAGAGGGACAAAGGGATGACCTGTTTGATGTGCTTGAGGAAATGGATGGCGAAACAGGATTTAGGAGAGATAACATAAAGACAAAATTTATCATTTATAAGCGACAAGAAGCTGTGGCGAGCCACGATCGTTGGAGAAGTTGCATATATAACTGTGTATTTAGTTTTTTCATTGAGTTTTAAGATTTCTAAACAAATCAGACGCACAATATTTCGTTTCGTCCATAAAGCTCGAATTTTGGGCTCAGATGAGGAGATTTATCTCTCAATATTATGCGATGTAAATCGCAGCATGTAACCCATTTTTCAATCATTCCTTGCCCCAAGCAAGTCAATAATGCCACTGAGGCGGAAGGGATTACTGGGAGTTGTTGTAGTAAAGAAAAGACTGTCAACTGCCATAGATTTCTTCTGCTTCTCGACCGCAACACTTCTAGGCAAATCGCAGTTCAAACGACAGAGCGTCGTAAAAGTCCAACAAAGTAGAAACGACAAAATGGTGTCACACGTCCGACCTTCTCACGAGCAAAAAAAAAAAAAAAACAAGTCCAGAAAAAAAAAACGCACTTGCTTTATACAGCCGAGGACCAACGATAATTTGCATGCAAATGACGAGACAACGAGATTTCGCGTTAACTGTCCGAGACATAAAACATGGGCCCCGCCATGTTGTTTCTTTTCCGTTGAGCAGCTGGATTTTGCACGACGCACAGATTCGTGGGCGTTTCCGAGGTAAACCGTTTTCATAATTTTCCCCACGGGAGTGAAATAGAATAAGAAGAATTTAGCGAGGAGAAAAGACAATAAAAGAACAGGGGTCAGGAAGACAGAAGATAATTACACAGGCGAGAAGTGCGAGAAAAGAAAATATTGAACTAGAATTAGGCTTGTATCTAGAGAGTTAATAGGTGTGAGCTAGCTGTCAATCTAGTAAAATGCTTGAATCTATGCAATCGAGACACCAACGAGAATGGACCATCAAAACAATGGCTATGAAAATATTTGTAAAAAAAAAACAGAAGGCCGCCATATTCTGGCGATGGGAAAGTGACTGAAGTCGAGATGCCAGGTCAGGATCGATTCTATTAAGACTCAATCTAATGGATAAATAATCGAAACTAAGTATTTGAATGTATTATCAACAAATAATATGGACACGTTTATTTCCAACGGTAACCTGAAATTTAGAAACGATTAAAGTCATAGTGAAAACATTGCAGGGGAAAGATTAAACCTCAACGAAATACATCAAACTACAAAATAGATAGATAGATAGATAGATAGATAGATAGATAGATAGATAGATAGATACGTACACACATACATTCGAAAAGACTGGAATGAATAGATAGATAGATAGATAGATAGATAGATAGATAGATAGATACGTACACACATACATTCGAAAAGACTGGAATGAATAGATAGATAGATAGATAGATAGATAGATAGATAGATACATAAAAAGACTGAATAGATAGATAGATTAGATAGACAGATAGATATAGATAGATAGATAAAGACTGATAGAATAAATAAAAAGATAGAATAGATAGATAGATAGATAGATAGATAGATAGATAGATAGATAGATTTATACATACACACATACATTCGAAAAGACTGGGATGAATATATATATATATATATATATATATATATATATATATAGAGAGAGAGAGAGAGAGAGAGATATAGATAGATAGATAGATAGAGAGATGAGAGAGAGAGAGAGAGAATTTTCCAAAGATCGAAAATAAAAACATCAAATAGAGTAAAAAGGAACTGTGATAATCCGTTGAAAGAATGGCGTCGTTTTAAGAAAGACAGGAATAGATAGATAGATAGATAGATAGATAGATAGATAGATAGATAGGGAGGCTGATAGATAGATAGATAGATAGATAGATAGATAGATGAGATAGATAGATAAATAGATAGATAGATAGGAACAGGCTAGGAAGATACATATATATATATATATATATATATATATATATATATATATAGAGAGAGAGAGAGAGAGAGAGATAAATAGATAGAATATTTGCCAAAATTCGAAAATAGAGTATCAAATTGAGTGACAAGTAGCCGTTTGATGATTCGTTGAAACAATGACGTCGTTTTAAGAAAGTCAGGAATAGATAGATAGATAGATAGATAGATAGATAGATAGATAGATAGAAGATTTGTCAAAAATCGAAAATAGGACATTGAATTGAGTGACAAGTAGCCGTGTGATAATCCGTCGAAACAATGGCGTCGGTTTAAGAAGGAGAATGTGCGGCGATTTCCCGCTTGGCGTCATCGGGCAGCCTCTGCGGCAGACATGAATAATGTTACCATTCAAACGTGCCTGCCGGCATGTCTTTAGAACAATGGACATTGCCTTTTACACTGTGCTTTTCTGCATTGTCCTGATATCAAGGCCTTGTTACAGTGTGCAGCAAGGCCAGTATTCTCTCGCAGTACCCTCGAGGTTAACCTTGTTCCTAGATTATTCATATACGCATTTCATATATATATATATATATATATATATATATATATATGGAGAGAGAGATAGGAGGAGGCCCGGTGGAGTAAAGCAGCTCGAATTGTGCAATCGGAGATCCGAGTTCAAATTCCAGTCGGATCCGTTGTATTCACTTACATTCTAATACCCTTGGGAAAGGCATGAACCCATTTCTCCTTCCACCAGACAGAGGTAAATAGCAGGGCAGACTGGGTTCTGTAGCCTTCGGTTTTGTTTTTCCGTATATCTACACTCAGAGGGAAACATCTGATTTGCTTTGTCTTGTTTTGTTTTACGGTATATCTGCACTCAGAATCAGAGAGGCCCATCTGATTTGCTTTGGATTGTTTTGTTTTAAGGCATGTCTACACACAGAATCAGGGAGAGACATCTGGTTTGCTTTGTGTTGTTTTGTTTTACGGTTTTCAACCACAATAGGCTATTTAATGCCGACAAGAAATATATTGCTAGTTTTTCCCCACAACTTTATTTCTGGTAATAATGTATTGTTGTAATGATATATATATATATATATATATATATATATATATATATATATATAAATATAATAAAAAATAGTACTAATATTTCCATGTTAATTTGTTCCATTTAGAATCTAAATACAATCCGAATCATCAGACCTACAAATTCAAGATTTAGAATTTGTAGGTCTGATGATTTTGGATCGTATTTACGATTCCATGGAATAAATTATGACCATGGAATATTAGTGTTTAAGCTTCTTTTATTATATCCTTACTCTGTCCTGACATTGAGTTCTACCTGGATCCTTCCTTGAAAATTTTTTTTTTGAAAATATACATGTATGGAAATTTTTATATATATTTGCATATGTATGTATTTTTCCACTAATATTATCTATCTATCTATCTATCTATCTATCTATCTATATATATATATATATATATATATATATATATATATATATATATATATATATATATATATATTGTTAGTATTAAAACCTATTTTTACACTTTCATAATGTTTTGACCTCAGTTTGGGTGTTGACTATTTGCCCATAGCCGGGACCCTAAGAGGTGCTACTATCCTGGGTCAGGGTGAACAGCACCAGTTAAGTGGTGGTTCCATGCTCTTCAAAACTTCCTAATCGGAGGCTTGCTGCCGGCTGTAGTTTATCACCATAACCAAGATGCGGATGTTCTTTATCGTCATACCCATGTCTCAGAGATTGCTGGAATTCATGAGAAACATGATGAGGAATGAAGGCTACGAAAACGGAGGTGGGAGCCTTATCAAAGTGATAAAAAAAGGCCACAAGGGATGGGAAGTTGTGGAGAGCTATGTTCGAATATCTAATCTTTTAGGTGCCAATGACTGTTGGAGAATTTCGTAACGGATGAATAAAGAATAATGATAATCTCGCTGTCGCATTGTAAGCAATGAGGAGACGTTAAAGAAAATAATAATTGCAATAAGAAAGATGCAGTCATAGTTTCTGGGACACATAATGATATGGAATTTTATACCATGTCTAATCACTTACAGTGCAATTGATGATAGGATAAAGAACAAACAAGAAACGTTTATAAGTCTAACACGTAGAAACACACTGCAGAAACGTCTCGAACTATAAAGCACGTATCTGTGAACACAAGAGGAACCTGCGTTGAGACAATGATTTAAACTCTCTTGTAATACACAGAAACAAGATTAGTTATACGTTTGATTTTACAAATGCCACCCTTATTTTAAAAAAGGCATAAATACCTCAAAGGGGTCCGAATAAAAATGCTACCAACTATAAACACACGTCAAAAACACTATATTACATCACCAGCCTTTATTAAATCCATTCTTAATCCTAGAACACTATCAATTAAAGTTACACCACTACTAACCCATGTTTGAAAAAAAAAATTGATAAATTTTGATAAAAAAAAACTATTAAATATAAATCTTTATTTGAAATATTTTACATGCAGGCACTTCAAACTTTGTACTTTAAGTTAACATTAATAAGAACTGGAAAACATTTTATTTAGGTAAGAAAATCAGGTACTGAAAATTGTAATTAAGAATAGGAATTTTTCCGCTGGCTACTATATACCCATGGTTAGTGTTCTAGGGTTAAATAATCTAACATATATTTAATTACCCCAACCAGAGTTGACGTGAAATCACCATGTAGGAAACCCCCAAATATAAATATGGCAGCGAATAATGGTTAATTTCCTCACAGCTAAAGAAGCGACAGCGTTACAGTTCCACCGAAGAATTCTGAAAATTACATGGAACGGTCACATGAACAAAGAAAATTGTTTAAGGAAAATTTGAACTGTAACAAAACTGGTACTGACAATCCGAAAGCGATGGCTGAAATCTTCAGGATATATGATGAGGAAAGAAGGCTTGGCGAAGTCAACAATCACAAGTGATACTGAAAGCAAGAGGAACGGGAGTGGGTAACTTAACGAGATTTTGTGGATGATTGCCAGAACAGGGACAAAGATCGATGGGAAATACACAAAAATAGTGTGAATAGTTATTATGTAATAAAGGGTTCAGTCCGACATTCCAACCACCTGAAGAAGGCTGGTGCGTACAACGGCCGAAACGTTGTGATAAATATGGCAACAAAGGTGAGGACAATAGTCCGAATAATGTAAATAAAAGGCAGGTTGTTGTGGAGATCCATGATTGCCCACCTCCTATAAAAGATTGATTAGAAATACACAAAAGTTACTAAGAGCAAAAAAAAAAAAAATGCAGGATATGTCTGTATGTCTGAGATGAGGTATTATGTAAATAAAGGTTTCATTTCGACATTCCAACCAGCTGAAGAAGAACGGAGCGTACAACGGCCAAAACGTTGTGATAAATTATGGCGAAAAAGATGAGTACAATAGTCCGAATAATGTAAATAAAAGGCAGGATGCTGGGGAGATCCATGATTGCCCACCTCCTGAAAAAGATTGCATATATATATATATATATATATATATATATATATATATATATATATATATATATATATATAAGAACACACAGGGGTCATTAAAAGATAAGAATATAGATATCTTTCTCACCCTCTGTTAATAGTTTTATTACCCTTCACGCAGAATTTTTTCATTGCCAGTTCAAGAAAAACATTTGGGTCACTGACACACAAAAGAAAATGTCTAATATCGAGAATATTTAACATCGAAAAACATGAGAAAAATTAATTCCTTTAAATAATATGTGGAGATATCCACTCTTTGCCTGATGAAGGTTGCGAGACCGGAAACCCGTGTAACAAAATTATGGAAAATAAAGCATAATATATATATATATTTTTTTTAAATCCACATTACAAACAAAAAAATTACCTCTTATTTTCATTAAACACACTTTTCTCTAGTTAGAACTACTATAACTTCTCCCCTTATATATATATATATATATATATATATATATATATATAATATATATATATTAGACGTGGCTGATAGGATATTTTGTCCGGGATTTAAATACGCAACTCTTTTTCACTACGCATCTCAATGCCGACGAGGTAATTTATGATCACGCATATGCAGTGAGGCTTCTTTTGGTTGGTTTATATCAAGGCCGCGCAACCTGTTCACGGTATATTCAGAATGATTGAAGACGGTTGGGACATATTACTTGTTTATTGTTAAGGGGAATTGGCCTTGTTTAATCGAAAATTCAAATTCGCAAACACACCGGTCTCTGTTAGCGACTTCCGACTGCATGATAGGAAACTTACGCACAGTAATCTTACATACAACAAACTCGGAAGATGGTACCAGAGTTAACGAAACGACAGACACTCACTCTTGCCAGCCCAACCCCAGGACCCATCCTTGACCAACACTCCCCCCCCCACCGATTCTGCTCGTCTCTGATTTCTTCTCGAGCCTCTAAATATTCATGATGTTAAATCTTGCCCAGCATTTTCGAGTCAAGAGTATTTCGCAATAGTCGGCACAAACGCCGCTCGGAGCGTCTCTTTTGCGTCCCTCACCTTTGTCTCTGGCCGTAGTCTGAGTGTGTGACGGAGAAGCGATTGACCACCTGGCCCTCTGGAGAGGAGTCGATGGCCAGTAGCCTGCGCGTGATCGAAATGCACGGGGGTTCTCATGAATAAAATAAACCCCTGGCCGGTTCATGTACAACCGAAATATTCCTATTTCGTTCAGGTCTGGCCAGTCGATTTTTCGTGGGTGAGGTAGAGGGGCTGAAATTTGAAAGTTTGTATCGATGCGACATGCTAAGGTAAATCATTTAAACAATATAGGTTTTGTTATTTATGAGATAAATGATTAAGTTGAACAGAAGTATAACTACTGAAAATAAGTTTAAATATATATATATATATATATATATATATATATAGATATATAGAGAGAGAGAGAGAGAGAGAGAGAGAGAGAGAGAGAAAAAAGAAAGAAAGAAAGAAAGAAAGACAGAGAAAGAAAAAGAGAATGGGATAGTGAGAGAACCGATTAAAATAGATGGATATGTACAGACTGAGATAGATAGATAGATAGATAGATAGATAGATAGATAGAACTGATTAAAATAGAACTATTAAAATAGATAGATATATAAAAAAATAGATATGAATAGATATATAGATATTATAGATAGATGAATAGACAAACTAGATAGATAGATAGATAGATAGATAGATAGATAGATAGATAGATAGATAGGAACAAACTGAGATAGATAGCTATGAAAAAATGAGATAGATAGATAGATAGATAGAATTATAGATATGAATGGATATGATAGGATAGACAAACTGGGATAGATAGATAGCTATGAAAAAACTGAGATAGATAGATGATATATATAGATGAATATAGATATGGAACAGACTATGATAGATAGATGAAAAATGAGATAGATAGATAGATATATAGAATTATAGATAACAAACTGAGATAGATAGATAGATAGATAGATGATAGATGGATGAATAAATGAGATAGATAGATAGAACAAACTGGGATAGATAGATAGATAAACTGGGATAGATAGATAGATAGATAGATAGATAAACCGATTAAAATAGATACATATAAAATGACAGAGACAGACAGATAGATAGATAGATAGATAGATAGATGAAGCGATTAAAATAGATAGATATGAGACGACTGAGAAAGAAAGAAAGAAAGAAAGAAAGAAAAAAGAACGAACGAACGGCAGCATAGTGAGTACCAATATCAATCGATCTTCAAACATGCTTATCGAGTCGAATTTTTTGACTCCACACTGATATCAGAATCACAACCAGAATCCTGGAAATGTCTAATGGATTACAGGAAAGATTAAGGGAAGAACAATAATCTGAACAATTTTTACTCATACTAGATTTAAAAACGAATCTTTTATTAGAACACATTAAAAACACAATAAAGAACATTTTTAATGAAATATGTATTAAAGTTGGGTTGTTACTCAAATACACCAATATATATATATATATATATATACATACATACATATCCAAATAATGAGAAAGAACAGAAAGATTAACAATCCAATCCACAGTTCTTTAGCATTTACGTTTTTAAAAAGTTCTCAATACATCGTAGAGCATAATATTTTAATAATACTTTAAAATATTATTAAAATACATACATACACACACACACACATATATATATATATTACATAAAAACAGACCACTTTAAGGTTCCATGTAATAAATTATTTCACAACAGCCCTTTTAAAGGACTGCGGATCATCAGACTTTACTTCCAAACAAAAAATGAAAAGAAAATTTACACATTTTTGACGGGCCGTATTAAACATATGTAAATTGACGAAGTGAGGAAGTGAGGGAGGGAGAGAGAAGACATGAGTAAGTTAAAATGTGTCAATATCCGCTAATTCACTCATCGAGAACCTTTCTAGCCGCCGTCAGCATGAATTTCGCTAGAGTTCAAGGGAACAACACACTGCACCATCTTGGCCTCACGCTTTCCATTGAATTGAAGTGGCGCGACTACATCGAATCAACAGCTGCATCTACTGCAAGGAAATTTAGGTCACAAAAAACAGAAAAAAATATTATGCTTTGTTTTACATAATTGTACTACACGTGTTTCTGGTCTCGTGACCGTCTTTAGGTAAAAGTGGAAATTTCCACATATTAAAAATAATTAATTTTTTAACTTTTGTTTTCAATGTTAAATATTCTCGATATGAGACATTTTCTGTGTTAGTAATCCGAATTTCTTTCTTGAATTGGCAATGAAGAGTTCTGCCTGAAGGTCACAAAAACAATTAAAAATTGGTCCAAGCGGAATGATGAATTACTTATCAGCATTTTATTTTAATGTTTTACTGACCCCGATATGTTCTTGGATCTGTTTCCATTTTGTGTTTCTGTCAGCATGCATGTATATATGCGTTGCGTATATTCCCCCTCCATACATATATTGTCTTACTACAAGGAATTAGTAAACTCATTTGTACATATACACGCATGACGGTCACGAGACCAGAAACACGTGGAGTACAATTATGTAAAACAATGCATAATATTTTTTTTTCTAAATAAATCCACATTACAACGAAAAACGTTTGCGGCACCTCTCTTCTCTTCTTTTTAATTTACATACTTTTCTCTCGTTGGAAGCACTACAACCTCTTTCTTTATATATATATATATATATATATATATATATATATATATATATATATATATATATATAATTATTTATTTATTTAAAAATATGTTTCAAAACAAGAGCCGAAAACTTCAATATAATTATTTAAATTAAATTGAGTTAAAATAAGCTCTGTTCCATCTTCAAGCGAAATTTTTTTTTTTGAATAAATTTTCACACACACACACACACACATATATATATATATATATATATATATATATATATATATATTACAGCGAGGGTCACACTTTACAAGGCCCCAGGGCTGTTCGAGGTAGAGGCTTACGTTTGTGGAGTCATTTGTGTTTATAGGAGTGGAAGATACTGTTTAACCCTGGCCTTGAACAGGTTAAGATTGCCGTGATCGGGGAAACATCGTCTTGGAAGTCGGTCCCATAGAGTTCGCGAGAGCAATCTGTTCGACTTCTACGGGGAAAACGTCGGTAGTTTATCACTATGTATGCGGCATGGTAGGTTCTTGCCGTGAAGGTCTGCCTCGGCGGTAGCAGGGAATGTAGTTTTTCCTATGACCTTCTCTGGAAGTCGCAATGGAACAGCGAGAGTCTTACCCCATCACGCCGGTTGGAGAGGCTGTCTTAGTGGAAAAGTACATTAAATGTTATCGCTCTTTCTATTTATATATTCCCTGTATATTTGCACTGGTATAGGAACAATAATTTAGTCTGATGAAAACCTTTTAAATGACGAAACACGTTGTATACATTTTTTTTTTCGATTTTGTCATTCATTTATCCAACAACGTTCTGATATTTAGAAATGTATATATCATATTTTCTCATGATGCTTTCTCCGCCCTGGGTATGACGATAAATCATCCGTGTCCTGAGTAAGACGATAAACTACGTCCGACAGCAAGGTCTCTGACCAAGAGGTTTTGAGGAGCGTGGAACCCCTTCTTAATTGTTGGTGTTCCCAGGGTGGTAGCATCTGTTAGGATCCCAGCTATAGGCAAATAGTTAACCCACAAACTGGGATCAAAACACGATGAAAGTGTAAAATTAGGTTTTAATATCAGAAATACTATTTTGTAAAAAATTATTACCAGAATTATATTATTACCAGGAATACATTTTTTTTTTTAAAATATTACCAGCAATACATTTTTGAAAAACAAATATTATCAGCAATACATTTTTGGGGATAAAAAATATTACTCGCAATATATTTTTGAAAAAAATATTAACAGCAATACATTTTTGAAAAAAAATATATCACCAGCAATACATTTCTGAAAAAAAATCTATTACCAGCAATACATTTTTAAAAAAAATATTACGTGCAATACATTTTTAAAAAAAAAAATATTATCAGCAATACATTTTTGGGAAAAAAAATATTAACAGCAATACATTTTTGAAAAAAAAATATATTACCAGCAATACATTTTTGAAAGAACTATTACCAGCAATACATTTTTGAAAAAAAAATATATTACCAGCAATACATTTTTGAAAAAATCTATTACCAGCAATACATTTTTAAAAAAAATATTACCAGCAATACATTTAAAAAAAAAAATATTACCAACAATACATTTTTAAAAAAAATATTACCAGGAAAACATTTTTGAAAAAAAAATATTACCAGCAATACATTTTAAAAAAAAAATATTACCAACAATACATTTTTGAAAAAATATATATATTACCAGCAATACATTTTGGAACAAAAAATATTTCTAGCAATACATTTTTGGGATCAAAAATATTACCAGCAATAAAAAAAAAATTGTCGGCATTAAATAATCCATTGAGGTTGATATGCCGTAAAACAAAATAAACAAAACCATGCTTCTGTTTGGTCTAATGACTAAAGAATCCTATTGTAATTGTACTTGCCACCCCCTTTATTAGTTAGCGCAACCGTTAAGTCCTGTTTCAATATTCAATTTCAAATCTTTTCATTTGTACCCGCTTACTTCTTAAAATAACAACTAGAATTCGTATTCATGATTGTTATTGCAATATTTTTTTTAAAGTTGCTCAGCTCAAATATTTACCGATGCGATAGAGGAATTTCTACGGATATTTTATTGTTGTAGAACTCGCCATGAGCTCATTTATTATCAACTGAAGAATTAAGATTCGTCAAAAAATTTGAATAAATAATGGACAATGCCGCGTTTTGATAGCGTGGAAAAAGTGGAAAAGCATTACTGTGTTTCAGTGAGAAAAGGAAAGACAAAAAAATAAAAGGTAAGGGAGGAGACAGACAATCGGATTAAGCTAATAAGAACAGATACTACATTTTGATCTCTGCCAAATGGGACGATGGCGACCGCAATAAAAGAGCCTTTTTTTTTCAAATGTACGTCGATAGGAACGGCGAAAATTAAGTCAGGCAATCACGAAAAATCCAATTAGCAGAAATTAAATAAAATTACATCATCAGCTGAATCCTTTTAAAATTATTATTAAATGTTTATAAGTATTTCGCGAGAAAGAAAGAAAGAAAGAAAGAAGAAGAAGAAGAAGAAAAAAGAAAGAAAAATAGATAGAAAGAATGATGGAAAGAAAGACAAAGAAGGAAAGAAAGAAAAATGAAAAAGAAAGAAGGGAATATAAAAGTGTTAACGTCTCCTATCAATGCATCGTAGATAAATGGCAATTCTGTTTTGATCGTGTGGAAAGAGGGGGAAAGACACTACTTGGTTTCAGTGAGAAAAAGAAAGAAGGAAGGAAGGATAAAATGAAAGAAAGAAAAAATGAAAGAAAGAAAAAAATGAAAGAAAGAAAGAAAGTAAGAAAGGAATAAGTGAATATAAAAGTATTAACGTCCCCTACCAATACATCATAAAAAAATGGACTATTCCGTTTTGATTGTGTGGAAAGAGAGGGAATGACACTACTGGGTTTCAATGAGAAAAAGAAAGAAAGAAAGAAAAAGAAAGAAAAAGAAAGAAAGAAAAAAAAAGAAAGACAGAATTGTTTAACGGCTATTTCAGTGAAATGAGAAATGTTTCCAATTTCAAATATTTTCATTTGTATCCCCTTACTTCTTAAAATACCGACCAGCATTCATATTTATGATTGATATTGCAATATTTTGTTAAAATTGTTAAGTTCAAATATTTAGAGATGCGATAAGGGAATTTCTATGCATATTTTATAGTCGTAGAACTTGCCATGAGCTTATTAAATTATCATTAACTTGAACGTTAAGACGTCATAAAATTTAAATAGGAAAATCGTGGCATTTTCAAATGTCTTTCTAGTATGCAATAAATTTTATTAGTCTTCATATTAGTATTATTATTTTTGTTGTGTTTTCATCCCTCGAATTACTTTCAGAGGCCTTCTATAACTATACACACACACACGTTTTCCATTTCCCTCTCTCCCTCCACAAATAATAACAGACGTGCTTAAGGCTTTTTACACTGATCAAAATTTTAAATTTAAGTTTATTTTCATAACAAGTTTCGCACCGCGAGGAACCAGACAGAAATAGGGTTTTTGCTAATAATACGATTTCCACCAGAAAATACAACGTCTACAAAAACTTTTGTCG